AGGTCCCTTTCTACGAAAGCACTTTTTGTAAATGATATGATCACTGATCATAACCTAGATGTGCTCTGTTTGACAGAAACCTGGCTAAAACCAGATGATTACATTATTTTAAACGAGTCTACCCCCCAAGATTACTGTTATAAACATGAGCCGCATCCAAAGGGTAAAGGGGGAGGTGTTGCTACAATTTATAGCAATATTTTCAGTATTTCTCAGATAGCGGGCTTCAAATTTAACTCGTTTGAAGTAATGGTGCTTCATATAACATTATCCAGAGAAACAAGTGTTAATGATAAATCCCCTGTGATGTTTGTACTGGCTACTGTATACAGGCCACCAGGGCACCATACAGACTTTATTAAAGAATTTTCTGATTTTCTATCAGAGTTAGTGCTGGCTGCAGATAAAGTTTTAACCCCTTAAAATTCCTGTAAAATGTGCCTAAAACACCTAAAAAAGGCATACCCAAAGTAAATTGCATGCTGTTCTTGAACCATTTGGAGTATATGCATGGTTTTGGTCTCTTTTGAAAGGTGACACTCTGAGGTGTGTTCCTCAATTTAAGGAAGATTAAGGAACTCCTTTACACTTAAGGAAGATTAAGGAAAACAGTCTGACACCGTGGTATAATGAGCACACTCGCACCCTAAAGAGAGCAGCCAGGAAAATGGAGGAAAACAAAACTAGAGGTATTTCGTATTGCTTGGCGGGAAAGTAACCTATCCTACAGAAAAGTATTAAAAACTGCTAGATCTGATTACTTGTCATCTCTTTTAGAAGAAAACAAACATAACCCCAGATATTTCGACCTATGCTCTCAATGTCAAATGCAGAAACGTTAATTCATGCGTTCATGATAGATTAATACACCTCAGTGGTGTATTGTAACGAAGTAATAATACTACATTTCCTAATTAAAATTATTAAAACTCAAAATTCAAGGCATTCTAAATTGTAGACGGCAAAAATGCTTCTGTATGCTCTTTTATGTTTATATAATTTAATATAGTTAACTTAATCTATATCAGACAAAGAGTAGCCTACCGTTTTTCTGCAAATATCAGCATGAACACATTTAATAATCATTTTATACAAGTTCTCACAATGATTTCATATACTACTCACACCGTGAGGATCACAGTATGAGGATCGTGTGATGTCACTGTGATCATCTCATGATCTCACGTGTTGACTGGGCCTCCATGTCCACTGTGTTCTCAAAACTCTGGCAATTTGATAATACCTAGAATATCAGAATCAACTGTGGGCGGCAGATCCTTTTCCTATTTAGCGCACAAACTGGAATAACCTACCTAACATTGTTTGGGAGGCAGAGACTTACACATAACACACGAACACGTTTCTAATATTCAAATCTGTTAAAGAATTTTTAGGCTGCATTAATTAGGACAACCGGAACCGGGAACACTTCCCATAACACCCATAACATGTACTTGCTACATCGTTAGAAGAATGGCATCTATGCTAATATTATTCTGTTTCTTTCTTATTCCGAGGTCACCATAGCCACCAGATACAGGTCACTGCAGTCACCCGGATCCAGTCCGTATCCAGCCCAGATGGCGGATCAGCACCTAGAGATGACCTCTACAGCCCTGAATGTCAACTAGATGAGCCCCAGAGACAGACCCACAGTGAAGACCTTGTCTCCTAGACAGTCATCGGGACAAGTCCACAGGAACCAGATGAGTCCTCTGCACAATGTGACTTTGCTGCAGCCTGGAATTGAACTGCTGGTTTCTTCTGGCCAGAGGAGAACTGGCCCCCCAACTGAGTCTGGTTTCTCTCAAGGTTTTTTCTCCATTCTGTCTCTGATGGAGTTTTGGTTGCTTGCCAATGTCGCTTCTGACTTGTTTAGTTGGGGACACTTAATTTCCAGCGATATCGTCGACTTGATTGTACAGATACTATTTAAACTGAACTGAGCTGGATGATGACATCATTGAATTCGATGATGACATCATAGAATTCAATGATGAACTGCCTTTAACTGAAAATTGAGTGTTTACTATTGTCATTTTGCATTATTGACACACTATTTTCCTATTTAATGCTGTAAAGTTGCTTTGACACAATCTGTATTGTTAAAAGCGCTATATAAATAAAGGTGACTTGACTTGACTTGACTTTAGGTCCACAGCCCTACAGAGTTTAGTTCCAAACCTGCTCCAGCACACAAACCATGTAGTTCCCAAATAATTCTGAAGGACTTGATTAGCTTCATCAGTTGTGTTTAACCCCTTAACTGTCACCCCACCACACACTTTTCTTTTGAATATGGACATGAAAATGCAGAAAATAAATTGTTGTAAGTCATGAATGCTTTGAAATACAGACCTAAGGTTGGTCTCTTTAAAATTAAAATTGGTTAAAAAATTAAAGCCATATGTGTAAATAAGTTATGTTGAGGTTCCTGTGAGATTTTTATTAAGCCATTATACAAAAAAAAAATAGAAAAATAAATAGCCACCAGGTGACACCTGAACTCCACTGATTTTTTTAATGCATTTTCTGGTCACAAATTTCTTTTGCAACATTACTTCTATTACAAAAGCACAAAAAAACAAAACAAAAAAAACAAATATGGTCTTTTGACATCCAGACCTTTCAACAATATGTATTTTCTTAAGAGTGAAGAAAGTTTTGATGTGACACAAATATTTACAAAAGCCTCCTGAAAATTTTCGAAAGCTTCCAAAAAATCACCATAACATGGATTTTAAACAATACCGTTCTAAGGGGTTCTCATGGCACTCTGAAAGAACAGCCCATCGATGGAAATGGTGCATCCCAAAAACGCTATGTTTGAGGAGTCATCAACTCGATGCGATTGTAGAATCAGAAGGGTAAGCGTACTGCAAGTTAGCCAAACACTCAGCGCATCAGAGAGGCAGAGGAAGGGCCTAATTCACCTGATGCTGCCGGTTCCAGGTGCTCTGGAAAACGGAGAACTCAACCTCTCATGAGAGGAGAACTCCGAATTCAGAGGATAGTGTGCTCATTTCAGGTAACCCTTTGATAAAAGGGGAGCACTGCTCAATACTACCACGAGAACAGCCCATGGAGTGATGTCTGTATGGAAAAGAGGAAGAAAGGAAGACTCACCTGAGCTGGAAGGTTATGGCCAGAAAAAATAACGTTCATCGAGATGACCTCGTGACGTCACTTTCTCGCCCGCTTCACGGCAAGTAAAGCCTCACCGTGGCCCATAACTTTCAAAGCTCATCATACGCAGGGCAGGAGGATTGGGAAGGCTCAGCCTCAGCTTCTTTGCCCCCCTCAGACATTTCCTGCTTTTGCTGGGCCAAACCCAGCAGAGCACTGGACCCTGGATCAGACGATGTTAATGAAATAACATCATCCTCCAGCGGCTCACTCTCGTCCACAGCCGACGATCGCC